AAATCTTTGCACCCCCTCGCTCCTGGTAGGGGCCTAGGGGTCCCGCAGGGCTCACGCCATGAGGCTGGGCCCGCAGCCTGGCGGGGCCTGGGCTTGACAAACGCCCTCGACCTTCGGCCTGCAGCTGCGACGCCGCTTCGGGGACGTGTTCAGCCTGCAGCAGGTCTGGACTCCCGTCGTCGTGCTCAACGGGCTGGCGGCTGTGCGAGAGGCGCTGGTGTACCGCAGCCAGGACAACTACGACCGCCCACCTGCGACAGTTTACGAGCACCTGGGTTACGGGCCGCGCTCGGAAGGCAAGCGGAGAAGGGGGCAGACCGCGTCCCGGCGGGGACTGCGCCAGCAGTGACCCGATACCGGCAGGGCCAAGGGGAGGCAGGGTCGCGGACATTCGGTGCAGGGAAGAGCCAGCGAATTTGAAGGGGCAGCAAGAGGAGAAAGGAGTCTGTGCCAAGGGTCGGGGGAGGAAGAATGCGGGCGAGGCAGGGGGCGGGGCCTTACGGAGAGAGGGCGGCCCAGGGCCATCGCGGGCACGAAGGGGAGGTCAGGGTGGGCAGGAATGAGGACAAAGTCAGAGCGGGCGGGGTAGGGCCGGGCCAGGACCTTCCCCGAAGAGGAAAGGGGGTCCCGGTGGGCAAAGTAAAAATTGGAGCCAAGATCTGACCCTAGCAGGGGAGAGTAGGCGAGCAATGCGGGCGGGCAGAGAGTGGGACCGGTCCCCAGCTGGAAGGGGGTGTCAAAGTGGGCGGGATTCGTTTGGGAGGGGAGGGTGAGGTTGGTGTGGGCGGAGCGGAGGGGCGAGGCCTGCCCCCAAAGGGGGCGGGGCTGTGTGAGCAGAGCACCAGGAGGGGCGGGCCGAGGAGGACCGACGAGCCCGCCAGCGCTGTGGGCGAGCAGAAGGTGGGGCCGGGACACACCCGAGCCACGCCCACGTGCCCGCTCCACCCCCAGGAGTGATCCTGGCGCTCTAAGGGAAAGCCTGGCGCGAGGAGCGGCGCTTCTCCTCGTCCACCCTGCGCAATTTCGACCTGGGCAAGAAGTCGTTGGAGCAGTGGGTGACCGAGGAGGCCTCGTGCCTCTGTGCCGCCTTCGCCGATCAGGCCGGTGGGTGCTGAGGGACAGCGAACAGGTTTGGAGAGGCTGGGGGAGGAGATGGAGGCGACGCCCTGACGTGCACCGTTCCCTCCCAGGACGCCCCTTTAGCCCCAACGCCTCCTGAATAAAGCGGTGAGCAACGTGATCGCCTCCTTGACCTTCGGGAGCCGCTTTGAGTACAACGACCTTCGCATCCTCAAGCTGTTGGACATATTGGAGGATGGACTGAAGGAGGAGGTTGGCTTCGTGCGCCAGGTGAGGGAAGGGAGCTTCATAGAGGAGGCCTCCGTCCTGCAAAGGGCCTCCCCGGAGGAGGATTTGCGTAGAGGGTCAGAGGAGGAAAGGGCATTCCGGGAGGAGAAACTGCAAGGGAAAAGGCCTGGAAGTGGGGAAATGACAGACAACACAGATGGGAGAGGCGGGGCGAGGGTCAGCGGGCTTAGGGGAGGGAGGGTTCCTTCATTGGAAGGCACCGGCACCCATGAGATGTAGACTTTAGGTTTATCTTTCTGCGCCCAGGGCCAGGAGAGAGGGGCGAGGCCTGCACTTAGGGAGGAACAAGGTCAATGGTGGGGACATCCTGGAGGAGGCTAGGACCTGACTGGTCCAGGTGAAAGCCTGAGCACCACAAGGTCCCAGGGCCCCAAAGCTGTGACCCCCACAGGTGCTGGAAGCAATCCCCGTGCTCCTGCGTATCCCAGGGCTGGCTGCCAGGGTCTTCCCGGGGCAGAGAGCCTTCATGGTCCTGATTGATGAGCTGGTCATCGAGCACAGGGTGACCCGGGACCGGGCCCAGCCACCCCGAGACCTGACTGACGCCTTCTTGGATGAGGTGGAGGTGAGGTGGGTTGAGGGTTGAAGACCCCGTGAGGCAAGCGCAGGCCTGTGTAGCACCCCGTGACCAGACATCTGGGCTGACAGGAGCAGAGTGGGAGGCCATTTGGAGGCTTCCTCCCTCTGTCCCTGCGCTTACCTTCCCTGCGTGGCCCAGGCCAAGGGGAACCCCGAGAGCAGCTTCACGTCTGGTGGTGTCTGACCTCTTCTCTGCCGGGGTGATCACCACCTCGGCCACGCTGGCCTGGGCCCTCCTCCTCATGATCCTGCACCCAGACGTGCAGCGAGAGCCTAGCCCAAGGGGACAGGTGGGATGGGGGAGGGAGGAAAGGGACAGCCTGAGGCCCCTGGGCTTGGTGGGTTTGGCCACCAGTAGCAGCTCTGTGCAGAGGTCACAGTGACCTGCCCCTCCGAGTGGGCACAGCCCTACACAGGAGTCAGGAGGAGGTCAGGGCCCAGCCCTTGGGTCTGACCACTATGAGGATGCTTGTTTTTCCAGGACGTGTCCAACAGGAAGTCGATGAGGTGATAGGGCAGGTGAGGCAACCAGGGATGGGGAATCAGGCCCTCGTGCCCTTCACCATGGCCGTGGTCCATGAGGTGCAGTGCTTCGGGGACATCATCGCACTGGGCCTGCCCCACATGACATCCCGTGACATCGAAGTTCAGGGCTTCCTCATCCCAAAGGTAGGCCTGCGGCTCTCCTCACCCCAGCTCGGCACCACCTGCCACCTGGTAGCCCCAATGTGGGCATTGCCAGGTGGGGTCAGGACTGCAATCCAAGCCACCCAATCCTCATCTCCACAGGCACTGAATGTCCCAGGCTGGGGGGGTGTGAGGATGAGAGCAGAGGCAGGGCTGGCCCTGTCCATTCAGAGCCCGTAGTCGGGTAGGGAAGACAAACTAAAGCGTGTCACAGGTGTTGGAGGAGCCCGTTCACCAAGGGACAGGTGGCAGTAAGGGCACCCATGGGAGGCAAGTCACTTACCCTGCCATGGGGACAGGGAGGGTGCCGAGAAGCTTCTTGGGCTGAGGGTTACTTGAAGAGTCCAGGTGTGTGCCAGGCAGAGGGTGTGTGCCCATGTGTGTTTGGTCGCAGGGGTCCAGGCATCCCCCAGTCCAGACCCCACCCATGCCAGATATTTCCTGCCAGGGGACGACACTCATCAACAACCTGTCATCAGTGCCGAAGGACGAGACCATCTGGAAGAAGCCCTCCCACTTCCACCCGGAGCACTTCCTGGATGCCCAGGGCCGCTTCGTCAAGCAGGAGGCCTTCATACCCTTCTCAGCAGGTACCTGTGGGGTGCCCGGTTTGCTTACCTGTCCTGAGGGAGTCTTGAAGGGGAGGAGCCCAGGCCCCCAGGCTCAGAGAGCCCCCATGCCCGCCCACAGGCCGCCGCTCGTGCCTTGGGAGCCCCTCGCCTGCATGGAGCGCTTCCTCTTCTTCACCAGCCTCCTGCAGCACTTGAGCTTCTCAGTGCCCACTGGGCAGCCCCGCCCCAGTGGCCACGGTGTCTTTGCCTTCCTGGTGACCCCATCCCCCCCTACCAGCTCTGTGCTCTGCCCTGCTAGAGGTGGGCACCAAGCCCCCAACCCACTCCTCAGCAGTAGCCCTGATGTACAATAAACCAGTCTGGTGGCTCCAACCTGGCTTGAGTCCCACCCAGGGCCCCTGACCAGCCCCTTGGCGCTCATGGGGCCTCAGCAGCCTCCCCAGATCCAGCCCCTACCCCTGCCTGATCCATCCTTACCTGGCATTTGACCCCATTTGAGAGATGGGTATACCGAGGCTCAGAAGGTGACACCTTACCCCCTAGTCACCCTTGGAGACCCAATACTGGTTACTTGGGTTAGTGACAAAGTCTATAAATAGGTCCTGGCTTCTGCTGGAACGAACTAGAATAGGCTGGTGAGAGATTTCAGGCCCCAGAGGGGATGAGGAGGGCCCCACTCAACCTGGATGCCCACATTTCAGGCCCAGCCACCCTCAGCTTGCACCGCAGGCCAGCAGCTCAGCCAGCACCATCAAGTCTGCTGCCCCAAAAGCTGGCGAACTCAGGGATGGCTGGGAAGCAATAGGCCGGGTTAGCACCCACAGCTCAGTCTTCAGATGCCAGAGCTCTCCCTGGGAAGCCTGATGGCAGCCCAGGAGTGAGCCACCTCCCTGGGACTCTTAGTCACCCCAAGATAGGATGGGCCCCCTTTCCCTGTCCCTTAGGGATGCTCATCTCCCAGCCCCTGCCCAATAGTAGTTGCCACTCACGGCCACGCTGGAGTGGGAGGACACTCATCTAGGCTCCAACCCGGGCTCTATCCTCTGAGTGGCCAGGTCAGGCCGGGCACTCAGGAGGCTTGGCAGGGGCCAGGAATGAGCCCCTGTGGGCCGCAGGCATGCCCTAGGGACAGGGGTCAACCTTGGACCCATGTGACAATGGGGTGGCCAGAGCAGAAGGAGGCCATGTGGGGAGCTGGGAGGAGGACACCCTGGCTCTAGTCCTCGCTCTGCTGCGACACTGTGTGACCTCAGGCTTCTATTCCCCTTCAGCCAATGAGAAGTTTGCACCAGACGGCTGCTGGGGCCTGTCTTCCTGCTCTGACTCTGGAGCTGGGACCTCATTAGCCTGGAGCCCTAGCTGAGGGTGGGGACTGCCACCGTCTACCTGTGCCCACCACCCCGACAGTTTGTTCTGGCCTCTAAGCACGCACAGGCACCACCCAAGGGCTTCTAATGACTGTCTGCTTACCTGAGTCATAAGCAGACTTCCTGGTGCATTTAGGTTAACAGCTTGGGGACCACAGATACTCAAGGCAGAAGCACCGCCCCCAGCCAGGCCACTTTTGCCTTCATGACAGTGAGCTCCACAGCTCTTAGCATTCAGGGAACTTGGCCTCTCCCTTGGCACTGAGTCAGAAGACCAGCCAGGGCCCCGTTCAGTCTCCAGCTTATCCCCTGTCGTGGGCTTAGTGGCAGGAGGTGGTGTTCCTGCAGCTTATTGGAACAGGGAGCGTGGATGAAACCACACTGAGTTTGTGGAAACTTGAGGCCCCTGAAAGGAGGCAGCCAGGCCTGCAGAAGCAGCAACTCTGGATTTATTGGATATTTTGTCATTCGTGGCTCTGAGTCTTGGGGATGTCAGAGGCTGGGGACCAGGCCAGCCAGAGCTTCCTCAGGAGCTGGGGGACCCAGCCCCCAGGCCTCTCCTCCATTAGGTCCACCTCAGAAGCCTCTAAAAAGCACAAACAGACATGCCCTGTGGGTTCCTTGCTGGGAGGAACCTTTCCCCAGGGCCAGGGTACCCTCTGGTGCCAGGGAATCAGGTCAGCGTTGATATAAGGCTAGGCATTCCTCCACCCCAAGCACAGTGGCCTCAAGTCCTGCCAACCCAAGAAGGAAGCAGGAGGCAGGGGGTGCTCATCAGGAAAGACAGGGCATCCGGCTACCTGGGTTTCTTCCCTCCCCTCCCTGGGGCAGGAGGGTCAGGGAGGAGCTCGGCTGTCTGTGGCCTCTGCAGGGTCACCGAGCTTAGAGAGGAGAGCAGCCCTGCTACAGCAGGTGGGGCCAGTTGTCTTACCAGAAGTATATGCAGCAATCTCCTTTTGGACCTTTTTATTTTCCTGGGAAGGAAGAAGGGGGACAGTGGTGGGATGAGACAGGCTCTGCACTGTGCAGATGGGGAAATAGGCCTCCCTTCACAAGGAGTCAGGGGAGGCCAGGATTCAGATCTCCTCTGCTCAGGCCATGTCTACTCCTCTCAGCTCCTCACAGAGCTGTTGCTCGACTGAGATGGCAGTTTGGCTCAGTCATCTTGGGGGTGCCCCCGCCCCCCATTGCCCTCCTTCCCCAGGGCCTCTCCACTCCACCCTGCAGAGCCCTGGGGCTCCTCAGTAGGACCTATGCTGGGATGTTCCAGTCGAGGCTTCCTTACCTCCCAGCCTGGGGTCCCTGCCGCCTCCTCCTCCTCAGGTACCTCCTTCCCAGCAGGAATGGGGGAAGGAATGGGGCTGCCTGCTTCCTCTCCTGGTGACCTCATCTCCCCCTCGTCCGAAGACAAGATATCAGCCTCCTCCTTGGGGGCAGCATCATTCGGTCCTCCTGTTGCCTTCGGGGTCATGGCCTGCAGGGAGGGACAAGAGGGCAGAATATGGGCAGAAAGGCCCCCTGATCCCCCAACCCCTCTCCCTGTTCTCCACACCTGGAGTGTGTGTAGTTCTTTGTTTTTCCAAGGAAGCCCCTCCCTTCTCAGCTCACGCTGTGGTAGGGTTGTAGGTTTCCTAGAGGGGCCCTGCCACTCTCCCTGGGACCCCTGGCCATGAGCTGGGGCATCCCTGAGCCTCAGGGAGCTCTGACAGGAGACAGCCCCGGCCCCGGGCCCTTCCAGGGCAGGCCTCACTTACCTCAGAGTCTTGCTTCTCCCCACTCTTGACTCTGCGTCTCTGCAGAGGGAAACAGGGGAAGTGACATTCAGCTGTGAGTGTCTGGGAGTCCTTCCCTGCCTGGCCCATCCTCTTATGGTGTGCGCCTACCGAGGGTGCCCAGGACAGCCACCCTACCCCAGGGGGAGAGGGGTCCCCAGGCCTGACCCACCTGAGCGGTCACAGGGTAGCATTTATCCATCAGTCCCCACACTGGCCTTAAGGTCTCCCCTAAGGGCTGCATGACAAGGAGAAAGAGAGAGAGAAAGAAGGCTGAGGTGACATATTAAGGGCTCAGCTATGTACTAGTCCACTGTCAATGCCTGCTGCGAAGACACCCAAAGACTACCAAGGATTTAAGGAAAACTTCACACAAACAATAATTGATGGCTTTAGAAAGATAAACTTTGCATTTACAAAACAAGTATGGGCGCTAAAATAGAAATGTTCAAACAACAATCTCTAATTCTTCAAAAACAAATATGATATTATAATAGGAATTAAAAATTAAAAATCCAATCAAACTGTAGAAGGTAAAGAATAGAGAGAAGAGAGCGGGAGGTCCAACAGCTAAATCATAGATCTTTCTGAAAGAGGGAACAGAGACAACAAACTGGGGTGGCAGGGAGAGATATCAAATAAATATGTTCATTTTTTACCAAGACAATTTCCCAAAGATGAGCAACATGAGTTTCCAGAAGAGAAGGAATCGCCAAGTGTCCAGGACAATGGATGAAGGAGACCCACCCCAGATTATGCCATCAATAAATTTCAAAACACTGAGGATGAAGAGAACCTAAAAACTTCCAGAGATATGAAGAAAAAAGTCTGTTTTAGGAATTCAACTTTCATCAGACTTTTCAACACCAACCCTTTGAAGCCAGAAGAAAATGAGGAGCTTCAAAATCTGTCAGAAAATTATTTCTAGTCTAGAATTCTATACCTAGCCAAACTTAGTTAAATATGAATTAAGACCTTTTCGGATATGTAGTATCTCAAGACTACCCCTCAGGAAGCAACTGGAGGCTGTGCTCCCCCCAAATAAAGAGTAACATCAGCTCCCACACGTGAAAGAAGTGAAGCACTCCCCACAATGACGGTGAAGGGAGGTCCCAGGACAGCTGAGCAGCAGGCCTCAAGGACGTCCCGTCCAGATGGAAAGAGGAGGATGGAGGGCTCCATGAGATATGTCTCCAGGGAAACGATCATACAGATAAAACACCTAATTTGTCTAAGTGTATTGTAAGGAGATTAATATTTTGGGTAGAGATTTTGGATGAATTAATTATAGGTACAGAGAAAACAAATTTTTAAAAAAAGAGGAAAAAACAAAATTATACACAAAGAGTAGTTACAGTACACTACGTGACTCAGGAATACTATTTACATAGTTTTAAAATGTAAACCCTCAGGCTTCCCTGGTGGCGCAGTGGTTAAGAATCCGCCTGCCAATGCAGGGGACACGGGTTCGAGCCCTGGTCCGGGAAGATCCCACATGCCACAGAGCAGCTAGGCCCGTGCGCCACAACTACTGAAGCCCGTGTGCCTAGAGCCCATGCTCCACTCTAGAGAAGCCACTGCAGTGAGAAGCCCGCGCACTGCAACAAAGAGTAGCGCCCGCTCGCCGCAACTAGAGAAAGCCCGTGCGCAGCAACAAAGACCCAGTGCAGCCAAAAATTAATTAGTTAATAAAAAAATAAACACAATGTAAATCCTCAATATTGATCTAAATAAAATTACAATACAAGCCTATTAGAATGACTAAAAAAAAAGGTAAATGTTGGAAATGATATGCAACAAATGGACCCTCTCATTCATTGCCAGTGAGAATGCAAAATGGGTGCCAGCCATTTTGGAAAGGCTTTACAGTTTCCTACAAAACTAAATATACGCTTGCCGCATGACCCCACAATCCCACTGCTAGGTATTGACCTAAGTAAAAGGAAAACCTATGTTCACACAACACTTGTCCATGAACATTTATAGTGGTTTTATCTGTAAGTGCCAAAAAACTAGAAACAATCCAAATGTTTCTTACTTGGTGAATGGACAAACCGTGGTGCATCCATGCAATGGACAGCTACTCAGCAATAAGAAGGAACAAACACTGCTACACACAACTGGGTGGACCTCAAATGCCTTGTGCTAAGTGAAAGAAACCAGGCTCAAAAGATTACATACTGGGGAATTCCCTGGAGGTCCAGTGGGTAGGACTCTGTGCTTCCACTGCAGGGGGCCCAGGTTCAATCTCTGGTCAGGGAACTAAGATCCCACAATCCTGCTGCACAGCCAAATAAATAAAAGACTACATACTGGATGTTTTTTTGTTGTTGTTTATTTATTTATTTATTTATTTTACTTTTGGCTGCGCTGGGTCTTTGTCGCAGCGCACGGGCTCAGTACTTGCCCCATGGCATGTGGAATCTTAGTTCCCCGACCAGGATCGAACCCGCGTCCCCTGCATTGGAAGGCGGATTCTTAACCACTGGACCACCAGGGAAGTCCCTGGATGTTTCCATTTATATGACCATCTTGCAAAGGCAAAACTATGCGACCAGAAAACTGCCCACTGGATGGCAGGGGCTAGGAGTGGGGAAAAGGTTGACTATAAATGAGTATGGGGGAATTTTTTGAAATGATGAAACTGTTCTGTATCCTGGTTGTGGTGGCAATTATACAATTGCATACATTTGTCAAAACTCACAGAACTGCACACTAAAAAGGATGGATTTCACTCTGTATAAATAATACCTTAATTTTTTAAAAATGAGTGAAAAGAGCCCACTGTGTGGCAGAGGGACTTAAAAGCCAAAATGAGGACTTCCCTGGTGGTCCGGTGGTTAAGAATCCACCTGCCAATGCAGGGGACACGGGTTCGAGCCCTGGTCCGGGAAGATCCCACATGCCGCAGAGCAACTAGACTGCGTGCCACAACTACTGAAGCCCACGCGCCTAGAGCCCGTGCTCGGCAACAAGAGAAGCCACTGCAATGAGACGCCCGCGCACTGCACGAAGAGTAGCCCCCGCTCGCGGCAACTAGACAAAGCCAGCGCGCAGCAATGAAGACCCAACACAACCAAACATAAATAAATAAATAATAAAAATTAATTATTTAAAAAAAGCCAAAATGATATAAAAGTCAGCAAAAAAGCAAAACTGATACTTAAAATTTTTTAACACCTTAAGATGTCACTAGTCAGAATAAAACATTTACAATGCCAAAAACCAGGATATAACTATACTGGAAGACTAGAGAAAGGTGAGATGTATGTTGGAGGTGGCAGTAAGTGTGCAGCTGTTACGAGAGCTAAATCCTCATCTTTCGTTGTAGGAATTCATTCGATAACGTTTAAATCTGAAAAATTAAGACAAAGCAGGATAAGCTTTCTATTTAGAACCATGGAGGCAAAATCAAAGGCTTCAGCTAGAAAATTGGAAGCTGGAAAGACTCCCACCCTGGGTTGTGGGAATCATGGGTGAAGAGGATGGGTGAAGGGACAAAAGACAGCTAGTTTTTTGTTTCAAGTCTTAAAACTTTGACTCCTCGAACTATGTATATGCATATCTTTGATGACAATAAAACTTTTTAAAATGAAAATTTGGTTAATTAAAAAAAAAAAAAGGAAGCAACATAGGACTCTGTCTCTAAGGCACCTGCCAACATGGGCGTTATTAGGGCTCTCCAACCTCTGAATAGTCCCTCCCTAAATATGTAGCACACACTTCTCCGTGTTGCTGGGTCACAGATAAGCTTATTCCCACGAAAATCCTCTCTTCCCAATAGCACTAGATGGAGAGCAGGAAGCCTCCAGAGACCAGGTATGTGGCTCTGTCCTGTCACCTGGGGCAGCCTGGGTCTAGTCACTGTTCTTCTGGGAGCCTACGTTTCCTCCTCTATAAAGTGGGAGCTGCTGGGTTGCTGCAAGGTTTCAATAGATGGGCAACACCTAATCCAGCACGTGGCCCTTAGTGGGCATCCAGTGTCCATTTGTGTTTTCCTGACAGAGGGCTGGGAGGAGGGGCTTCTGCCATAGGTTCCTGGACCTGGGACGTTAAAGAGGGTACGTAACCCCAGGCAGGTGTCCTGCTCACCACCACCCGATTCACATATGAGTGTCAAACCATATTCCAGGGCTACTCACATGCATTAGGGGTCACCTGTTCCTTTAGGTTTGTCTAGGTCACTGCTACGGAGCCCTGAGGTGAGCTTACAGCCAGCCCATGGCCGGTGGGGCCTCTGTTTGACACTTTGCCAGGAACACAGGGAATTTCTCCAGAGCCCTCACATTCACACACACACACACAGTTGGTTGACCATTTGAGATCAAGGAGTATGACCTCTGTTTTTGCTACAGTGAGACAGTCCCTCTAAACTCGGACAGAGGTCCCTACCTGTGATGATTCCCCAGCAATCTCATGGTCAGGAGCTGTTTTCCCCACACACCCCTGAAAATAGTAGTATACCACTCCTGCAGGTAGAGGAAGAAAAACTAGTTAAAACGTTTAAAAGAGTGATGTGATTATTTTTAAATGTCAGTATTTACAATATGCCAGAAATTATATCCTTTTCAACTATTTTAATGTGTGATGAAAGATATTAGATATTAACTTACAATGTGTGAAGGGATAGTTTTTCAAAAGGTATGCAAGCAAAAATTTGAAGATCACTGCTGTAGGACATTTGGTTGTATGCGTTTTTTGGTTTGTTTGCCGGTTTTGTGGGGTATGCATGGATTTTAGAGTGAGATATGGGTTCAAATCCCAGACTCACCATGAAGGTGCAGAGGGAAGAAAGGGGGAAAGAAGCCCAGCCTTGGCTCTGAGCAGTGTGACCAGCCCTGGGGAGCCAGGTACATGGCAGTCTCAGGAGGGGGCCTCTGGGAATCCCAGTGAGTAGCTGGAGACTGGGGTCCTGCCATCATCCCCAAATTATCCCAGCACCCAGACCCTTACCTGCAAGAATGAAGATGTGTACTACATACAGCAACTTGTATAGCCTGGAAGGAAAGCAGAGCTGAGTGTGAGGCTGGGGCCTCGTGCCCTCACCAGTGGGTGCTGGTTTTCCTCCCCAGTCCAAGCCCCAGGACCTATTCCACCAGCACTCGTCCAATCAATACTTGTGGATGAATGAATCCATCAGCAGTAACAGGGCTCAGCCTGGGCTCCCTGCTGACTGGCCGGCATGCTCTGTGCCTCTGCCTACTGCTGAGAAAGCCAGACTTGGTGCCTGGAACCCACAAGGATCCCCTGACCCACTCCCTTCTCCTTTCCTTCTTTACTTGTTTACACAGGTCCATCTTGCCTCTCCAGCCAGAAGGCAGGGACTTAGCCTTGGCTGGACACTCATAGTTATTCATTCAAGTGCTGGATTAGCTCTTCCCCTCAAAGCCCTCCAAAGCCCTCCCTACTCTGGACTGACAGATCCCACAACCTGGATTAGAAATAATATCTCATTGTCCATCCTCCTCTTCTAGGACCCCTCCCTCAGGACAAACAGAGCGTCTTTTTTTAAATTTTTTTTTTGGCTGTGCTGCACTGCATGCAGGATGGTTCCTTGACCCGGGCCTCCACAGTGAAAGCGCCAAATCCTAACCACTAGGCAACCAGGGAACTCCCTCAAACAGAGCATCTTGGCACTGCCAGGATGATGGCTCCCTGCCTACACACACACACACACACACACGCATGTCCCACCTGTCAGTACCAGGTCCTCCACTCTGACCCTGAGTCCCAGAGACACTATAACACCCTCCACCCTGACCCTGAGTCCCAGAGACACTATAACAGTCAGGGAAAAGGGAATATAGAACCCTATTTTCCCGTCCTTGTGGCACCAAGTGAGGGGTCCCCTTTCCTGGTCTTTCGGGGCATGGTAACAGGCCCACCTAAACTTTACCTCTCTCTCTGGCAGCACAGACCAAACACCATTTTCAGTCTAAGAAGAAAAGATGGCAACAGTCAATGCATCACATAGACCCAGGGTCCTGGTGTTCCTTTACTCTGTGGCTTGCAGGGATTGCAATGGGCTAGAGGCAGTTGGGGGAATGGCAGGACCTCCACAAGCAGGGTTCATCCAGGGGAGAGCCTGCTGGTCACAGCTGGAGGCTAAACTCAGGATGGAGTGGGCTAGCATTAGGAGCTTGGAAAATGCTCAGGAATTTCTCCCAAGACCTCAGAGCCCCAAACAAAAGCTGGTTTCAACGTCCTCAGAGCTGAAAAGGTAGGTCCCAGGGAATCAGGATGGGAAAAGCGGGGTTGGGAGAGGATTAAGGAAAAAGGTATAGCTCTATTAAACATTTTGTGTAAAATGACCCCAGGTGTAGGTGGCTAATTATAATAGTAAATAAAAATGATTTAAAACTACGAAGAGTTTAAAGTATTTTCTGTGTTACACAGCATTTTGGGAATAATCTTGGGAGTTCTGGGGGAGATTCCCTAGCTGCCTCAGAAATTCCCTCTCTGTCTAGAATCCCACCTTCAGTGTCAAATTGCATATAAACTGACACTGTGGTACAGTCAAGGTCTCCAGGGTGAGGTGGACCTCAGTGTGGCCTGGTGAGCCTCTGTTTCCCAAGTGAGTTCCCCATTCTCCACAGGGACTATTTCGCTTTTTTTGTTTGTTTGTTTGTTTTTTAGATGTACGTCGGCCTCTCACTGTTGCGGCCTCTCCCGTTGCGGAGCACAGGCTCCGGACGCGCAGGCTCAGCGGCCACGGCTCACGGGCCTAGCCACTCCGCGGCATGTGGGATCTTCCCGGACTGGGGCACGAACCCGTGTCCCCTGCATTGGCAGGCGGACTCTCAACCACTGCACCACCAGGGAAGCCCCACAGGGACTATTTCGGAATCTCTCTTTAAACCTCCAGCCCCTCCTCTGCCTTCCTTACCTTCACCAGGGAACACACGCGCTACCAGATGGGTGTTCTCTAGACTTTCTGCCACCAAACTCACCCATCCTCTGCTTCTCACAGGTCATTTCCTCTTCAGGGGAGGAGGCTGCGCGCCCCTCTCTGGGGCTAGCCCCCTCTCGTACTCCATTCACCTGGTCTTCTCATAACCTGGGTGTTTGGAGGTCCCCTCTCTCACTTGTATATTCATCCTTTCCTTTTCTGGCTCCTTCCTATCAGTATTTAAACATATCACTCACCTCTTCCACTAAAAAAAGAAAGGCCTTCTCCCTTGAACCCATATTCCTTCTCCAGATACAGTCCTTATTGTCCCCTACCCTTCACACCAGTCTCCTTGAGAGAGCTGACTGCAGTACGTGTCTTCACCCCTCTTCACCTCTCCCTCACTCCACAGCCCACTGCAATGTTTCTGTCCCCATCAACCTCTGAAGCCTCTTTCACCAAGGTCACCAATATGCTCCTAGTCACCAAATCCAGTGGGCCTTTTTCGGGCCTCAGCTCACTTCACCTCTCTGCAGGGAACTACAGCACCTCCCTTCATACTGAATTACCTTCTCTGAGAATACTGCTACCAGTATACTCAACAGTAAGCTTTTTAGTTATTTATAACTTGGTGTGAGCAAAGTTATCAGGCTTTTTCTGAGGGAAGGTTTGGAGGAGAGAAAATGAGTCCTGAGTGAGAGAAGAAGAGGGGGAAAGGGGGAACGTCAAGTAGAAAGGGATGCAGGACAGGCAGGCTAGGAGTCGTAAAGACAATTTTCACCTGCTTGGGTGGTTTATTGAGCGCAACCTTTTGAAACCGCTTTTACCAAATCTACCGACCCTGATGATGTTAGTGACTTGCAGAGGCAACCTATTCACCTCCCCTCAGGCTCCAGGACTGAGACTGAGAAGGGCACCAGAGCTCAGCTAAGTCTGGCAGTCCAGTGCACAGCCCCTCCCCCTTTCACAGGAGAGCACTGTCTGTGTGTGACATCATGTCTTAGGGGGCTTTATGACAGGACAACCTCTCCAACCTTGGCCAGAGTAGCTTGTCATTGCCTCAGGGTGGCTTTAAATCCCAACCAGTCAGAGAAAGCACCTTTGTAGGTATCTCTTTTGTTCCATTCAATGCCATCAATGCTGCCTGAGCACCTGCAATGTGCCAAGCTCTGTGCAAAGCCCTGTAGAGACAAAGACACAAAGACACAAAGGTGTATAAGACTCAGTCTTGTCACATAACACAATAATCTCGTTTTTAAAATAAAAAACAAGAACACAGCCTGACCATTTCTAAGTGTAATCCATTTATTCAACCAGTGTCTGCTGAGCTTTCATTCTGGTCCAGGAATAATGCTGAGGGGATAGAAAGGTAAACAGGACACACAGACTGCCCTCAGGGTGCTTGAAGAAGTCAAATAGACATCTTCTGATTCAAGACAATAGCTTTTATACCCTCCCCAAATTACTATAAATGTAACTAAATAATAATTACAAAACTATGGTGGTTAAAACTGAAGAATGCCTTAGTTTCCCATACACATGAAATATTTACCAAGAAAGATCACATTCTCAACCATGAAACAAGCCTCTATAATTTAAAAGATTTAAGTAATTTCAAGTACATTCTTTGACCACATGGAATTAAATTATAAATTAGTAACAGAAAGATCCTAGAAAAATCCCCAAATAATTGGATACTAAATAACACACCTTTAAATAATATATGTGTATCAAATGTAGAGAACAAACGTATGGACACCAAGGGGGGAAAGTGGCAGGGGAGGTGAGGTGGTGGTGTGATGAATTGGGAGATCGGGATTGACATGTATACACTAATATGTATAAAATGGATAACTAATAAGAACCTGCTGTATAAAAAAAATAAAATAAAATTCAAAAATAAATACATAAATAATATATGTGTGAAATAGGGAATTCCCTGGCAGTCTAGTGGTTAGAACTCTGTGCTCACTGCCAAGGGCCTGGGTTCAATCCCTGGCCAGGCAACTAAGATCCCACAGGATTTGCAATGCAGCTAAAATATATATGTGTGTGTGTGTGTGTGTGTGTGTGTGTGTGTATACATATATATATGTATATATATGAAATAAAAAATCAAAAGGAAAGTTAGAAAGCATTTTGAACTGAAAGAAAAGAAAAAATATCAAAATTTATGGGATGCAGCTAAAGCAGTACATGGAGGGAAATTTATAGCACTAAAAACACCTATATTAGAAAATAAGAAATGTCTCTAGAAAATAAGCTTACGGTTACCAAAGGGGAAAGAGGGTGGGGGAGGGATAAATTAGGAGTTTGGGGTTAGCAGATACAAACCACTATATATAAAATAGATAAACATGGGACTTCCCTGGCAGTCCAGTGGTTAAGGCTCCGCACTTTCACTGCAGGGGGCGTGGGTTTCACTGCAGGGGGCATGGGGGCGTCAGGGAACTAAGATCCTGCATGCCATGTGGCACAGCCAAAAAGTAAAAAAAAATTAAAAAATAAAAAACAAGGTTCTACTGTATAGCACAGGGAACTATAATTCAACATCCTGTAATAAACTGTAATGGAAAAGAATATAAAAAAGAATATGTATAACTGAATCACTTTGCTCTACACCTGAAATTAACACAACATTGTAAATCAACTATACTTCAATAATTAATTAAAAAAGAAAATAAGAAATGTCTCAAATCAATGACCTCAGTTTCTACTTTCAGAAACTAGAAATGGAAGAGCAAATAAAAGCCAATGTAAGCACAAGAAATTTTAAAAATCAGAGTGAAAAGAAATGAAATAGAAAACAGACAAAGAAAAGAAAAAAGTCAATAAAACCAAAAGCTCAACAAAGTGTACAATCCTCTAGATAGACTAGATCAGGAAAAAATGAATAAGATGCGAATTATCAATATCAAGAATGATAAAGGTGACTGATGCAGATTCTATAGATACTAAAATAAGGGAACGCTATGAACAATGCTATGTGGATAAGTTTGACAACGTAGATGACATGGACAAAATCTTTAAAAGACACAAAGTACCAAAGCTCATGCAAGAAGAAATATATAACCTGAATAACTCTATATCTATTAAAGACATTGAATTTATTTAACTTTCCCACAAAGAAAACTTCAGGTCCACATGGCTTTACTAGTAAATTCTACCAAACTTCTGAGGAAGAAATAATACCAATTCTACACAAACTCTTCCAGAAAAAAAGGAGGAAATACTTCCCATCTTGTTTTATGAGGGCAGCATTATCTGATATCAAAACCAGACAAAGATGACATGAGAAAACTACAAAACAACATCCCTCATAAACATTGATGCAAATATTATTTACAAAATCTTAGCAAATTGAAAACAACAACATATAAAAAGATAATACATCATTACCAAAGGAGTTTACCCTCGGGAATGCAAGGTTGATTCAACATTCAAAAACCAATCAATATAAATTCACCATATTAATAGACTAAAAAACAAAACTCATATGATTATCTCAACAGATGCATAAAAAACATTTGACAAAATCAACATCTGTTCCTGAAAAAAATCTCCCAGCAAACTAGGAGTAGTTAGAACATCCTCAACCTGATGAAGGACATCTATGAAAAACTTAGAGCTAACAATATACCCGATGGTAAAATACTGAAGGTTTTCCCCTTAAATTCAGGAATAAGGCAAGGATGTTTGCCCTCATTGCTTCTATACAACATTGTACTGGAAGTTTTAGACAGTGAACTAAGTTGAGAAATAGAAGTAATTATCCCTTACACCATCGGTAAACCTACCACACTCCTGAAAGGGGCAACGATGTCAAAGAAGAAGCATAATATCAGACTTCCCTTACCATGCTTAATCTAGTCCAGTAACCAACCTAAAATCTGATTTATTATCACTTGTTGATTTTTTTCCTGAAGTCAAATTGTATACTTTTAGTAACAGATTTCTAGAGTGAGAACCTCATGACTGCGATGATTCAGCCCTTTACATGTATAACTTACAAAACTACTTGTGTTAACATTCCCTCAATTTATGCTGCAAATTGCAAATGAGACAAAAACCTCTCACTTGCATCTATATCATAATTTTGCTCATTGATTATACTAATGTTTTTCAAATTTGATACAATCAGCCATTAAATGATGATCACCTCTTTCAATGAACTACAAAGATTAAAATTAAAAAATAAAAGAGAGAAGTAAAAGGTAACCAGATTGGAAAGGAAGAAATAAAACTGCCTTTATTTTGCAGACAACATGATTGTGTATAAAATCCTGTGGGATCATCCAAAAAGCTACCAGAGTTTTTAGCAAAGTGAAGGATATAAGATCAATATGTAAAAACCAATTGTATTTGTTGTGAACCTAAAAGTGCTCTTAAACAAATGTATTAAAAGTCAGTTGTTCATAGCACTGAACAATTGGGAATTGAAATTTTAAAAATATCATTTATTATAGCATCAAAAATATGAAATACTCTGACAAAAAATATGTGGAAGATCTGTACACTAAAAACTACAAAACATTATTGAAAGAAATTAAAGACCTAAATAAATGAAGAGATAAACCAAGGTTGTGAATCAGAAGATTCAAAATTATTAAAATATGAATTCCACACTCAAATTGATCTATAGATTCAGTGTAATCTCAATAAAATTTTCAGCAAACTTTTCTGGTAGTTGAAATTGATATGCTGTTCCTAAAGTCCATATGGAAGTGCCAACAACCTAGAATTTTGAAAAAGTAAAGTTGGACAGTAATCAAGACAGTATGAGATTGCTGATGTCAAGACAGATGGAACAGAATAGAGTCTAGATATAGACCCATATATTGTCAGTTGATTTTAGACAAAGGTGCAAATGCAATTCCTTGAAGTGAAGGAAGCCTTGACCCTTAAATCATATAATTTTAAATTGACTTAATGAGGCAAAAGTGACACCAAGCTTTCCATATGTATACATATCCTGGTTAAGATTTTTGAACATAAAGAACAAGAAAACATTAAGGCAGGAAAAAAAAAAAGGTTACCTAAAAAGAAAAAAGAATCAGAAATCAGAATGGCATAAGAATTACCACATGAAATACTAAATGTTAAAGGACAGTGTAGTCATGTTCTACAGAGTTTTGAGGGAAAATGATTGTGACTCAAGAATTCTATGCTGAGCCAAGTCAGCTTTCGGTGTCAAGACAACAGAAAGGTTCTCAGGAGCCACTAAGGCCAGACATCAGACTGCCATCTGTGTACGGTGCCTCTCTCTCCTACCTCAAACAACAGAGGTAAAAGAAAGTAGATCTTTAAATAAATCCATAATAGCGCTGGAAAGCAAAATGTGGTACCCTGTTGAACCAGAAGCCATAAGGAATCTCTCAGAAATGGAAGGCAGGCAGGATGCGGTTGACAGAGGAAACCAAAGAACAAAATACAGGCAGGAGAACATCACTGTGAGAGGCAGAGAGTCCCTGGGAGTCTCTGTCTGTCAGAGTGACAGATCTGGGGAGCAGGAGAGAAACTTATTGGGATGATTGGTTTGGGGATTCATGTGAAGCAAAAAGATGACGACTTCCTCTCTTTCCCCACCTGTGGCAAGCAGACAAAAATAGATGCATCAACCACCAGGTGAGAGCAATGATTGTGAGGCCCCTTGCTGGATGGCTGGTAACACCCAGCAGGACTGGGGAACCCCATTATCCCAAAGTCTAACCATAAGTGTACCCTGCCTAGCAATGTCTTATCCTGACTCCACAGAGACTAATGCCACTTCACAGTAAATAAAACCATTCAAAGAGAATCCATCAGAGAATCTCAAAGACAGACTTGAGCACTTAGCCAGAACTTGCCAAATATTTGAGGAAAACCAACAGTAGAAAAGAGAGGCACAATGCTATACAAACAAAAAAAAACTAATGACTAAGGAAAAGAGTTAATAGAAAAAACCAAAAGAGACTTTAAAGTAAATATTAAAATCCTCAGAAAGATAAAAGAGGATATGGCACCCATAAAAGTGAATTGTCTATTAGGGAAAAGAAACAGCTACAGTGGAAATAAAAATAGAGCTGGTGTGGGCTTCCCTGGTGGCGTGGTGGTTGGGGGTCCGCCTGCTGATGCAGGGGACACGGGTTCGTGCCCCGGTCCGGGAGGATCCCACATGCCGCAGAGCGGCTGGTCCCGTGAG